TATATAAAAAGGCAAGGTGGGGAGGGGTATCCATTTTAAATAGCCTAACAGCTTCATTTGCTGCACTGCCAAATTAGAACAGAATAAAATAAAGTTAAAAAGGGGGGGGATAAAATAAATTATACATAATTTACTAATCTGGGAACAGCTGACCATTATTATTATTATTATAATTACCATTACAACACTAGCAAGAAGAGGCAGTTCAACTGAAAAAAAAAAAAACCCAACACAGTCATAAAATACAAACAAAAAGAACCCTCTCTGACATGGAGGATATGATCAGCTACTCCAAGGATAACTTCAGAGCAAATCTTCTGAGAGAGAGAAAATAGAAAAGAATTTTTCGAGGCAGAGGTGGCAATCAAAAAAGGGAAAACAGGAGAAAAATAAAACAGATGTTGCAGGGTAAAACTATCACACATCCAAACCGCTCGTCGGAGTATTGTCCTAAGTCTTCAATGGCATTTGCTCGTTTGCTTTGCACAAGGTCTGCAGAGGTCAACTTACACTTCAAGTGGGATTTCAAGAGGCAAAGAGCGAGCCTCCACATCCTCCTTCCCAGTCTCTCCTCCTACCCGCCCCTTTCATCCCGCACCTGGACTTAAATGGCTGATTGCACCAAGGGCTACATTTGCCTGATCAAGGGACCATTTGCAAAATCAGCGTTGCCAAGTACTGAAGACCACGGCTCTGGTGAATGCTTGGGCTGGGATCCCACTGGCACAGTGAGATGCACAGGGCTACTGTTACAAGGTAGAAGTGACAACGACAGCAAGGAGTCTCTCTCTCTAGGAGTAGGAATTTACCGGGGAGCAACATGAATACAAAGGTGGCATCCTCAGTTAGAAGACCAATTCAGAGAAAGGCTTTTGCCTCAGTACGATCCCAAGACTTTCCTTCCCAGGCCAGAGAGGAGCTCCTGGACAGCTGCTGTTTGAAGTTAGAGGTAGCCTTTTTGGTTGGTGGTAGGTTTAGATCTAATGCTTCTGTCTTGCTACACAAACCTGGGTCCTCTTCTTCTACAGGAAGGTCAGAGTGAGGAGATGAAAAGAGACTCTTTGATTCACTTGTATTTGCATTCTTTTTTTCTGAAATAAAGCGTAACATTCAGTTACCTTATTGGAAATACAAGAAGCTAACTTCTGCTCAGGACTATGCTTGTGGAAATCCACCTTCCACACCTGATTGCTGTTGCCCAAGGAAGGCAAAACTGCCCAAGCAACATATCTAAGAGCCCTAGAACAACGCTGAAAATATTTTAGCCCAGGAGAACAATTTTTCACTGTGAGAGGCAGCAGCTAGGGAAACTCGGCACCACAAAGGTTCGGGTTCTTACGTGCCCACTTTGAATATGGAAATCTCTTCATACCTATTAGTCTTCCTTCCTACACAAACATCCCACTGATAAAAATGGATTTCTGCAAGTGCAAAGGAGAAAAAAAAGTCAGTTAAAAAAAAAAAAATTGCCCTTTGAATCAGAGATCAGTACTCAGCCATCCTGAAGGTACAAGTTCATTAAAACTGGACATCAGGGTAACCTAATTATGCTCAGCGAGGAGGTAACACTTCCAGTTGCCCTGTCCTGAAGAAATCACATTTTGGACAAGCCTTTTTTATGTTGTATACGATGCCACTTGAAGTGTAAATTAAAAGCAAAGGCTCCTTACAGACCAAGTCATTTGGAGGGTGCGGGACTTCGTTCTGGAACGTGCTTTTTGCTCACAATAGTCCAATATTATTCTTATTAGTACCATAAACACGCACACATGAAAATCCAAGATCATAAAATATTTTTTTCTCTAAATTTCTTATGTCTCTCTCTCTCTCTCTTTTTTCACCTGAGAACGGCACCTACAGTTTCCTTTAAAAAGCAAAACCAAACCCAAAAATATACGTCTAATCTCACCAGCTGCTGGTATATCAGGTTCTTCAAGGGATTGTCTAAGATACAACACTGTCCTAACTTCAGACAGAGCAGGAAGCAAAAGAAAAGCAAAAGAAAAACAAAACAAGAAGAAGAGACCAACCAAAACAAAAGCAAATTGGACTAGTTCAGCGCTTTAGTACAAATTTGGCACTTGCTCAAAGACTCAGTATGGTGTGCAACTGATGAAGAGAAGTCCTCTCTTTAAAGGAAATAATTGCTTGTTGGGGTTAACAGAAAGAGACTCCCCACTTCCTTCCTTGCCAGCCACGCGCACAGGCACGCACGCACACACACACACTTCTGACCCAGATTTGCCAGGGAGGAGGAGGAGGAGGAGGAGACAGAGGGGGTCAAAGGAATTTTATCTTTTTTTCTTTCCTGTCAGGTGCATTACCAAAAAAAAAAAAAAATTATTTCTCTTTAAACTGTAGCACAAAACAACAAAACACATTCACAAGCCACTTGTTGGCACTGTGTACCTGAGTGAGAATTTCTAGAACATTGTAGAACAAACAGCCATAAAGTTTATTTGAAAAAAAAATAATAATAATAAAAGGTCGACGGGTAAGACTTCAGTGCTTGGGTATAGCAGCTGAATTACTGGCATTATTTTACCCATAGCTTATATCATTCTGTTGTTGTTGTCGTCGTTGTCTTTGTTTCCTTTCTTCTGAGCCTTTTTTTCTTCTGATGCAGGCTGATGTCTATTAGTCAGCTGATGTCCCAACTAGTTAAGACTAACAGTTAAAGTAACAGTCAGTGTATGAGAAAGTTAATGTGCTTGGCCACTGGCAAGGATAAACCAGATGGGGCTTTATTTATTTTTTCTTTCCTCCTTGAAGTCCTGTAGGTCACGAGATATTTGGACCCTGATCAGTTGGCTTGCCCCGCAATGTGATTTTCACTGTCACTGCCATAGTCCGCATCGGGGTCATCTTCTTCCTCATCGTATTCATCGTAGATTTCTCCATTGACGTCATCGGTCTGCATCTCTTCCTTGATATGAGGCTCCTCGCCTTTGATGCCGTAAGTGCTCTGGATGACGGGCATCCCGGGCTCCGGGCTGCTGGACACGCTCGAGTGCTCAGAGGGCAGATGCGGGGAAGGCATTGGAGGGAGTCCCTGCCATGGCAATGGCTCCTGGGTAAACTACGCCCGCGGTGGCAATGGGAATCTGTGCTTGTTGCCTGCCGTGGAGAAAAAGTAAAAGGAAGTTTGAATACTGGAGGAAGTAAAGGAAGGGCGAGCACAACAGCACTTTGCAAGCCCATCGCGTGTGCTCTTGGGCATGCAGAGGAAGCTCCTGGATTGCCCATGCAAGACAACCCTTATATCAATATTCCAGACTCACCAGCTGGTGCTCTTGAAACGAACATCAAGCCCAAACCAACTTTACTGATAAGAAAAGCCCATCTTTGTGAACATCTGTAGCTGTACCTGAACTACACAGCTTCAGCTTGCCTGCTTGTGGTGCAAACTTCTTTACTGGGTAAACTGGGCGTCCCATGAGCTGCCAGCCAAAAATAAACATCCTTTCAATTCTGGTCCAACTTAAAACCCATGTATTTTGAAAATCTTCCTTTTAAATAATCCTAGACATAAAAGTAACGCATTGCCAACAGGAGAGACGCGGCGAGGGCTGGGTAGTTTGCACAGGAATGGGGAGGTGCTGTAGGAAAGTACCAGTGGATCAGGAGAAAGCAAGGCAGGTCTCTCCAAAGAGCCAACGTTCACTCCACGTTCCCTCAGAAACCTGGCCATTACTGGGGAGAGGAACAGGGAGCTTTCTGGGGGCTGCATGGGTTACCAGGATGATCACTAAGGGCCTCCCACTGGAAGGTGATAGTTTCCGCAGTGAGCGGCACTTCTGAAAAGCAGAACCTTTGAAGGAAGGTGGATAAAATTGGGAAAAGGCAGACTTAAAACGGAAGCATGCATTATTTAAAAATAAATAAAAAAGCAAGCAAGCAACATGAGCATTTGAGAAAATCCTCTACAGGATGCCTTTATACAGCGTCTAAGCCTTGGAAACCTGTCTGCAGTAATGAAAGAAGAATTATTCCAGGCCATAGAAATTCCCTTTGCATCAAGAACACTAGCTGTGTTATACCAGTGTTTGTTTCCCTGAGAAGCTTCAGGGTCCCAACAAGCCTAGAGGTTTAAAATTCATGCTCCTTTTGTTTCCTTGCTGCATGAAGTAATTCCATTGCAGTAATACTCTTCAGAACATGCTGCACATTGTAATGTCATCAGCGGTGTGTCCATCTGCACTGAAAAGCCTTGCCACAGGAGACAGGGCAGAGTCTCTTGAGATGAACATTCTTAATTAAGAATGAAACCCTCCCCTGTTCCCCTGCCTGCCTGTGCCCTGGCTGTACAGTAAGCCTTGCACAGTACAGTGATCCTGAAAGACTTTCCTCTGCCAAACAGCTTTACATTTGTTTGGAATTGCTTGCTGCATTTTCAGATGCTTCCTGCCTGCCATTCAAGCAAGGCCTCCCTCCGCACAGTCCTTATTTCCGCGTCTCTGAAACAAGCAGAAGTTGGGTCAGCTGAAGATATAGCTCTTAAAGTAGGGAGCGGATCTAATTTGCATTTTAGTCTTAATTCAGTAGGAAGGCTTTGTTTTCTGGAGTCAGCAATTCTGTAACAAGATTCAGCACACTTAAATTGCTTTTAATATTTAACAATAGGAACACTTCGCACTTAAATGGTGCTTTTCAGAATGCTTTTCAAATATTAAATCATTTAAGGATAGTATTTTTCCACTTCTGTAGGATGTCCATTCCAGAGGATCTCAAAGCAGCCCTCAGATACTAATCTATCACGGCTCTCAGCAGCCCAGGGAGGTGAGCCTACCCTACCACCACGATAGATGAGGACACCGAGACACAGAAGAATTAAGTACGAGAGTTGCAAAAAATGCCCAGTCCTTCCCATTGTGATGCCTCCAGACAGGCTTTCAGCGTGTCCCAGCTGCTGGCATAGCCACAGCTCTTGTCAACCCAGTCACTTGCTTTGGTGCCCAGGCAGGAGCTGGACTGGTGTTTAGAAGTTTAGCCCTAAATGACCTCTATGGGGTCAGCAGCAGATGGGGAACTAAAACCAGGAATGGGAGTGCTGGGACCGCCAGCATCAAACGCTGACCCCGCTGCAGTCGTCGGCCCCCTTTGTCAGTAACGTCTATAGAAATTTCACCCCAAGTTCTGTGCTCTAATGCCCCAGAGCAAATTATCTCCTGAAATGTCTTGATTTCAATGTCAGCCTTGTTTGGAAAGCTACATAATATGCAGAATGTTACAAGGTGAATTTTTTTCCCCATGATGAAGCATGCATGTTAACCAGATAAGCAGTGGTTTGGGGGCTCGGTTGCCACCTATTCTTTTTCCAGAAGCCCCCCCTCCTCTTTTTTTTAATCTCTTGATGCCAAATGTTGGCTGACTTCCCTGTGTTTGTTTCAGTGCTTACCATTGGGATCACTGGACCTGCCAGCGCCACAGGGTTAAGCAGCTCAAATTTCTCTGCTGAGCGGCTTATTATAACAATGCGCGCTGTAGCTGTTTAAAACACAGTCTGATGACACTTAGCAGTTGCTGGACAGATATTCTCTCCTTTATTGCTACTTCTAGCCGTTAACTAGAGATGTGCAACTCAGTTAATATTAAAATGATTCCAAATTCGGATGAAACAGAACACAAATTCCATTTTTTCTGAGGGTCGTTCTTGCTGCTGGCTTTGCTTTTTTAAGACCACTGTTTTAATTTTGTGCAGTGAATACAGAAATATTGCAGAATATTTGATTACTTCTGATTCTTTTGATCTGCTGTAACCAAAACCAAGGAGTCTTTGCAGAAGGAAAATACATGCTAGTTTTCTAGGCATTCTAGATTTTATTCCAATCATATCAAGCTGATGTATTAGGTGTTTATCAGAACCCGTCTTCTTGAAATTTAGGCTCAACACAAAGAATTTAGCTTACTGTACTGAAAGACACTCCCTAATATGACAAATGCCATCACGATCAACAATGCAGACAACTTCATGTCTGATAGGAATTAACTGAGCCAAGTTCATATTCCGGCTCAAGTTCAGTATGTTCAGCAGTCCTTTTGTAGACCACTTGCCACAGATCATACTGAATGCAAAATGTATTTTTGGCTTTTAGATCAAGAGGCACTACCATAGATTCATTCAGATATACTCTCTGAGGCCACGTAATAAAGTAATACTTAGAAGGCTTTATTAGAAGACTTACGTTTCATTGGAAAATCTTAAGCTTTTTTTCTTTTTTTTCCTTTTGCATGATCAGAGAGGAAATAAGACAGTTGGCCGAAGCTGTAAGATGAGTATATAGCAGAGCCAACAAAAAAATCCTAACTGCCTAACTTCCTCCTGGAACACATTGTTTAAAAGTATAAGCTTCATATTCTGTTAGCAACATATAATGTTCTTGCCAATAAAATATAACATTTACCACACTGAATTAAGAATTCTCCCTGAAATTTTTTTTCGCTGAAATGAGCGGTAGATTTTAAAGGTCCCATACCCAACATTAAAATACTGCCTCATCTCCTGGCGTCTGTTGCGCATGATAGCCTTGTACTCGCCGATGCGTAATTTTTTGCCATCTACAAGGCAGGTACGCTTCGGCCTTGGCTTGTATTTGTAGTCTGGGTATTTCTCCAGGTGCTGCTTGCTGAGTCGCGCCTGTTCCTCATAGTATGGCTGCTTCTCTAAGTTTGTCATAGCTTTCCAGCGAGATCCTGTCACAAAAGAAATAAAAAAAAAAAGAGAAATGAGATTCTACTCATCCACAAATGCTGAAAGGCAGAGAAACAAGTAGGTCACCCAGAACAAGATACCTACGGTCATATCGCTTTGGGCTGGGAATCTGTCAGAGCTTCTAGACAGGGGTCAGGTCTTGTTTGTATTTGACTGGTAAACCTCTTGGGTATGGCCAAGAGGCAGAGAGAGAGGATATTGGAAGTTTTGACTCAGTATTTTACTGAAACTTATCTCACATCATAATGTCTTTCAGGTGAGAAGTAAACCCATCACCCTGATAATAAGCAATCCCTGACACTTTGTTTTAGAAACCAAGGCAGTGTATTTTAGTGGAATGGCCAAAGACCTCTTAGACACACAGAATCTGCTCGGCTAATTACCCCCCACTTTCCTTTGGCCGTGGGCCTGTTTTCACCTCCTGTTCTGGAAGAGGCACCGCTCCCGTGGGCTGCGATCTTGTCGCTGTGCTCCACCATGGCTGGATCAAGGACTAAACTCTGGATACCCATGTGTCTACGGCTTAGTCTTTTCATGACAAATGATGTATCTTTCTAGCTGCGAGGTTTGTGAGAAGCAGAATATGAACTGATTGTAAATGCTACGCTGCTGGGTACAGGAGCCTGCAAAGACCCTGAAGCAATGCCTCTAAAAGCTATAAACTATCCCATATGTCTCAGTGGGGTTTTAACTCCAAGACCAAGTCCTGGTGAACACTGCCAGCTCCAACTTAACAAAGAATTTAGTATGTGTCATGAAGGGAAGAGCACTGGGATACTGGCACACCTCTCCACGGAGCTGCACTATGGCTTGATTGCTGGCAGCCTCGTTTCTGACACTCTGCTTGTGTTAGCGTGGATATTTGAGCTAGGGAAATAATGAAGATTTTACAATTGTTTTCAAATGCCTCCTGAAATTTATAAACTAATATTTCTTAAAGGACATAATATGGAAGCAGAAAGTGAAATTTCTTGAATCAGTTATCCTATTTTATTTTTCCATGAACTACAGAAGTGCTTCAGGGTAAGATACATTTCAAATAACAGGAATGGCCCAAGCTGTGAAACATGTGGCCTAGAAGGAAATCTTTATTGGAAAATAGTCTATTTTCCCATTGGAAAAAAAGTTTGAATAGTTTCTCAATTTAATGGGTTCATAATGTCATATGTCATACTTGACTTCCTCTCGTTCTTCAGTTTTTATGGTTACTCATACTGTACTTAGCTCATGCTATTACTCAGGCTGGTCTTAGCTCACTGTGCCCCTAAGACTCACAATATAGAGAGCACAGTTATCCCTTCCCAGGAAAGAAAACAGTTTGGTTCCCTCCAGAAAGGCCCCTTCTGATTATTGACGCCATTTTCCCCAGTGCTCGTTGAATCTTTATTCCAAGCTGCAGTTTGGGCTTCTGGAGTGATGGGCTAACGGACTGGTACAGCCTGACTGCACACCCAGAGATAACTAATTCCTCAGTAATGACGTCTTTGATCTGAAGAGCAGCAATAAACATCCCTTTCTTAGCAAACATTACTTTGGAGTCAAAAGCATCGTTTTTATTGATGTTTATGACACATAACATGCAGAGATCCTCCAGCTAGTTCTGGAACAGAAATCAGTTTAGTTACATTGTTATTAGCTTAGGTGCAGCACCATATTAGCGTGACAAGGTGGTTTCTAGGATTTGGACTAAAACTCCCGCACAGCACTTTGTACGTCATACTGAGGCCGTGGCTGCGCAGGGGGATCTGTGGCAGGGCTCTGCGTTACACGGGGCAACAAACCTCTGCGGCCAGAATCCTGGTCAGCAGCTTTGCCTGCTGCAGAGAAATTATTCCAAGGTTTTTCTGGCAAAGAAAGTGGCTTGAGAAAGTGACACCAACTTTCCACACGTAGTACCTCCTAGATTTTGGGCTAAATGACACAGTCATAAACGTGTGGAGATTGCCAAAACACTGAACACCTACTAATGCTGCGTAAGACGGAAACAAAGATAGGGTCTGTGCTGAACGATGTTAAGAAGTCAGGGTAAAGCATGTGAGCTGTACAAGAGGATGCCCAGATGTAATGTAGCTCTGCTTTCAAATTCTACCTCGTAGACACTGGCGCACTGGTGTTTTAGCGTAAGAAGAAAATCATAAAAGTTGGTCCAAATCTAGAGTCCTCTAATCACAGAACTGCTGTAGTCCCTGTGGCTTAGAAAAACAGCCCCAGCCTCATTTCCT